ATATATATATTCTATATGTTATATACAAAAATTATACAAATGTTATACACTTTTTCGACTACCGAATGTAAATAGTTTCTGGCGCGGGCTGAAAGTGATAATACCCCCAACTTTTTTTTTAAAGAAAAAATAAACTGATCGTGTTAGTTAGGCGCACGTCAGGGGTTCGATCCGTCACAAATAAATGTGTTGTATTTAAGTGAAATAAGCTAGAGGAACTGGCTCATTATCTACCGATTTCAGCCGTGAACAACTAGCTCTCGGAAATTTCTCGGTTATAAAACTTTTAACAAAAAAAAGATATAGTAAAAACCTTGTAAACAGGGCCAAATCCCCCTTGTCCAAGCTTATTTTGTTCTGAGAAGTCATCTGTTGCCATTAATATGCTTTCAAAACTAAAGAATGGAACTTCAATATTGCCTTTATCATCATCTTGAATATCAATTAGCTCTGCTTCTCCTTCAGTATTTTGCATGACAGATTTTGTAGTACTCTCTGTATATTTAAACAAAGACAAAAAAAAATATTTTTATTAATGAAAAATTGAGAAAAATAAGAGAAAAATTGTGATCCATGAAAAAATAGAGACGTTTATTGTTACCTTTGATTTTTCTGTTTCTTCTTTTTCTATAATATATGTAGGAAAAGCATGAAAGAAAGAGAAGTGCAGCAATTACACCAATAGGAATGGCAATTTTCAGCTTTTTTGATGTTTGCTTTTGATGTTCATCTGCTAATCAAGAGGACAAATTAAGAAGACATTTACTTAGGAAAAAGAATGAAAACAATTAATAAGTTCATAAATAGACAAAAAAACAGAGAAGAAAAAATGTATTAATAAAAATTCCAATTTGATTCAAAAGAACTGTATAAATTAAAGACGCCCAGTCTATCACCAAAGGATGCGGTAAGATGATGAGATCCCTCCAAACTGGAGGTCTCGGAATTAAGAGATCCATGATAGAGAGCGCTTTCGCTTAATGACCTTATGCGGTAGAACCCACTGAGTTCCGAACATCAGATGGAGTAATCCGGAGAAATCCTTAGTAGATTCAAAAAAGTATGTAATTAAAAACGACCGCTAAGCCATCAAAGGATGCGGTAAGATGAATGAGATCCCCCTACACTGAATATCTCGGATTCCAACTCCAAGAATGAAGAAATCCCTGGTAGAGAATATTTCCCCTTAATGGCCTTATGTGGTACAATCTGAATTAGTCGACTACTATATTCTGGACACCAGATAGTTAATTCATTAATGTGGTGCTTATGCTTTCCTGAGCCGAGTGTCTATTGGAAACAACCTCTCTATCCTCGCAACTCACAAGGTAGGGGTAAAATCTGTGTACACACTATCCTCCCCTGACCCCACGGTGTGTGATAATACTGAATATGTTGTTGTTGTTATTACACCAGATAGTTAATAAAAAACAATAATTTGTAGTACATTCCAAAAATTATAAACTTAGGAGAAATTGCAAATCATTACCTTTGTTACTTGAAAATTCAGAAGCTGCAAGCCTAACATAGATTGTGCTTCCATTTGTATTATCTTGAGATAGTTGTTGTAAATTCAAGATTTCTCCACTCCAAATCAAACATCCAATATTTCCACTATTATAAGCATAAGCAACACAATCACAATTCTTTAAACATGTATTTTCACATTCAACTTCATTCTGAACTATCATAGACTCATTATTTGCAGGTAATCTCATATTTTTCTGCATCAAAAACTTGTCTTTCTCCCCATCAACAACACTAGAATTACCACATTTCAATCCAATTTTCCTCATACATCCACCAGAAAAACTTTTCAAATTCCAATCTTCGTCCGATTTAGGCTTAAAACCAGGCAAACAATCACATACTGAAGCCGCGGAGCTTAGTTCATTACAAATACCAAAAGCTCCACAATAACCAAAAACATCACAAACTTGTTTCGGATCAGCATAAAACACCTTCCATTCGTTCGTGCTATCCATCCATAGGAATTGTTTCGTTTGTCCATCGAAATCCATAATAAATCTTGATATAAGTGCAGGATTAAAGAAATTGTACTGATAATAAACCTCATTATCATTGTTAACATATGTGTAATTAAACATAGGATTTGGTTCGTAAGGTACACCAGTAAAATTGTTACCAGTCCAAGGTCCACTGTTCCAATAAATTACACTATCGTTCCACATATTAACACCTTGACCACTATATTTATCCATGTTAACTTCATGTGTAAAGGGTCCTGGAGAAGGATCGTTTGAGTTTTTCCATGATATCAGAGCCTGTTTTAGTTTCGTACGTTTATTGAACCCGAATTTTGAACCGGGCATAAACGTATGAGACGGATGATCAAAACTTGTCCATAGATGATTTCTTGAATTATTAATATCTCCATTACTCAATATCAAATTCCCATCATCAAATAAAGTTGCTACAACTTGAGAAGTATTAGAATCGGTAGAGAAATTTAGACTTGTGGACCAAATTATATGTCTGGTTCCATTGAGTAGAACTAAGTTTCCATTTTGAATCTTGAATTGTGCAAAATCCATTTCATAAATGGAAACTGGTGTTACTCTATTTGCTACCCAAATAACAGTTTGTATACTTAACTTTTTGTACCATATACCTATGTAATAATTGGAATTATTACCTGGTGTGAAGAATCCCATCTCAAAATTTCCACCTGATGAAACTATTGTTGAGGCAATAGAAATCCATTTATTTGCATCAATTGTGTCTCCAATTATTGAATTTTTCTGGCTTGTTACAAAAGGAAGATGGGTTTTTAGAGAGAAGCAAGAGAGTACAAAGAGATAGACAAAGAGAGAAGACATTTCTTTCTATTTTTTAAGGTTGTTGAAATTGGTTTTTGTGTATTAGAATAGATTTATGAATTAGGAATATGATTAGAATATTTGGTTGTAAAAATTTATCTGCACTCGATGTGTATATTAATTTATGTTAGTATATGTTTGAAGAACAAATCACAATTGTCCACTTAATAAATTTGACTCAAAAGAGAGTCATAGACTCATAGTCAAGTCTATCTTATTAGATTTTCTATGGAAGGTTCTTACTCTGATTTTCTGATGTTATTTTTGGTCAAAAATTGGAGGTTTGTTTATTCGTTGGACCAACAATTTTCTCCTTCGTGAAGGGAGAGCATTACACACGTCACTCTTATTATAATCGCGCGATATGTTTTAATCGGTTGTTTTCGTGTGATCTATAGGTTACGGGTTCGAACTGTAGAATTAGCCACTGATATTTGTCTTAAGGTAGGCCGTGGGATAGAAGGCTTTTCTTTCAAGTCTTCTTTTCTTTGATCGCCTAAGTCCTTGACTTGAACACTTCGCTGAAATCATGTATAAGATCATCGTTGTCTATATCACACCTATAAGATGCGTCCCTTTCTCGAATCCTGCGTGAATACGGCATACTTTGTACATCAAAAAAGAAAAAATAAGAGAGATCAGTTTGATCGTATCTTACTATTTCATGAGATATTTACTACATCACACCAAAATAAATATCGAATAATATTTTCAACCAAAACTTAGACGGACAGGAAGAATTCACCTACTTACATACGTCACTTTTACTTTCACAATTTGATTAGAACCCTACTGAATTTTGTGTCAATTTGTAAAAAGAGTTAGGAAATGAACACGAAAGGAAAAAAATATAATTATATATATATATATATATATATATATTCCACCAACATTTTAAAATGCCAAGTGTTTTATTTTTTCTTTATTCCCCTTCTTATTTGTCACTGCACCGGTCAAATATTTGACACTAAAGTCAAGGCAAATGAGCGTAAAACAGTGTTGCGTTTCAAACGGCGGCTTCAATCGGTCGTTGTAATTAATACTATTTTTCATAATTTTATCTATAATATCATGAACATTAAAAAGTCTTGACCAATAAAATGATCCAGTAATTTACGTAAGAAACCACCAACTTGACTACCATCATATTCCAATTACCTTCACCTAATGCATCATATACATATGTATCAAGACGATGAGTGTCTTTATCTTTGATTAACTATATGCTTGGGTAAAAGAAACTTCTACAAGCAAATACGAATTTTTATGATGATTTTTGGGAGCTTATTAGGGAGCACCCATTGTATTCCCGTATTGTCGAATGTTTATTAGTAAAAATAGTACGGGCTAATCAGTTTTCGAATTGGTAATTGCAAAATAGCTAGCGTTTGCAAAATCATTAAAAAACAACCACTGTTTTTCTGCAATACGGAAAGTTCCAGCATAATATAATAGAGGTTGATGCATTTGTGTATGAACTTAATATGCTGGAACTCCATCACATGAAAAGTTCCAGCATAATATACTGGAGATTGAAGTATCTGTGTATGAACTTCCAGCACACGAAAAGTTCCAGCATAATATACTGGAGATTAAAGCACTTGTGTAATATGCTCGAAATTCACATGTAAAAAATTCGAACTCCACTATATTATGCTGGAATATTTTTCGGATTTTGAACAGTGTTTTCGTTCAGATTTAGCTTTACATAAAAAGTGGATAAATTTTGATTACTTTTGAAACTGTGGCTATCTTTCAATTACTCACTACTTTTAAATTTCGTCCTGTTTATCCATAAGTGGTCTTTATCAGAACTCGATATTTCTATTTGTATGATATTAATAAGGGAGAAATTCAAAAATAGCCAGATTTACAACTGGTCGTTCAACCACGCCTTTCCCTCTTTCGACCATAATTGTCGACCACTACGCCTTTCCCTCTTTCTGCAGCCAAAGGGGGAGCACGACCAAGTGCAGAGGACGAGGGTACGTCCGAAACTATAACGGTAGCCCCAGAAGTCTGATCTTCCACCATGATAGGTTGCTGACCACCGATAATGGTGGGAATCTCTGATCAAATCGAGGCAACGGCTGGTCCCGTCCCAACAGGGGGAGCCACGACAACCCCCTCTCCAGATCTCGTCGTAGAAGAGTCGTCTAGATGAATCACTATTGGGGGCGCAGTCTCAAACTCCACTCGCTGTCTCTTCGATGGCCCCCAATCTTCCCAGTAGGTGAAGATTCACCCGTTGGGCGAGCAATGCGGGTCAGAACTTTAACCTGAGAAGTCACCCTCGCAGGAGTAACCAAGGCCGCAGACTCAACTAAAGCAGCCCTCGATGATGGTTGGGCGATGGGCACCGCGATAGGGCGAGTAGATGAGGCCGGCTGACGAAAAGCTAACAGAGGATCCCTTGCTCTCTGCACCCTCCCTAACATCGATAAACGACACGTGAGAACTAAGTAAAAAGAGAGGAAGAATAGCAAACAATAACGTCATCTCACCTGTAAGAGGCCTGCATCCGAACCTTTCGTAAAACGTCGACCATGTGCGAACCCCTACTGTATGGGGAAGGATGACACTCACCCATTCGCGAATACCCTCGACAGATGGAGGGGGCAATCTCTCAGCTACAAAGACATGATAAAGTTTAGCATCACAACAGAAAACGGTCGGGCATCTCATCGACTAAAATTACAAAAACTTACGCGCAAAGTTCCACCTCCCAGGGAATCCCGTTGGGTCCGCCATAATGTGCTCAGTCCGCACGTAAAAATATTTCTCGTAGAAATGGCGATTGGTCCTGTCATCCGTTCTTACCACAAGACTCCTCGATCCCCGAGGACACATTGAGGGGCGAAGATACTGAGCAGATGATCCAAAGTGATCTCACGACCGGCGAGTTCCGCGAACTTGATCAACATAAGGAATAGCTTGTACATGTACGGTGAAAGTTAAGCGGGGCACACCTCATAAAAACGGCAGAAGTCTACCACTAGGAGAGGGAGAGGAAGCATGTATCCGATCAGGAAGGGGTAGACGTAAAATATACAGTACCCAGGATGGTCAAAGTGAACGATGTCAGTTCCTTCCGCCGGTCGCATGTCGACGTAGCCGGGAATCCCCCACCTGGTTTTCAACTTTGCAATGCCTGCTTCTCTCAGAACAGAAGGGACAAGCTCCGTTGTTTAGCTAATTAAGTTTCATCATTTCTGGTAGGGGGTCAAATGGGCGGGTTGGGTCAATTTTGAACGGGTCAAAAGGAGTTCAGCCAATAATTGGGTGGATCAAATGATCTGCCCAAAAGTTATTTGGGCTAAGATAGATTGGGTCAAGATGGGCTAAAATTTAGGTCATAACCCAACCGGCCCAACTCTTATCAAACTTTACTTAATATATGTTGCTTTCTATAAATTGTATAATTAATAAATACGATTTTTTTCTTTTATTATGCTCATATATAATATATCAAAAAAAATTATTTCTAAAATATTTTGGCAAAGTTATTCATGGATTAATATTGGCTAAAAATCAGCCCAACTTTAAATGTAAAAATAACATGGGCTATGTCACACCTCCTTTTTCCGCACCCACGGGGGCGCGATGGGAGTTTTTTTCAATTAAAGGACAATCGAAATGGGATTGGTTTAATTATTTCAGAGTCGCCA